TGGACAGGTAGATCTTGAAAAATAAAGGAAGGTGTCTTTGGATTCCCTACCACTTTGGCAGTCCACAGCTTTCTGATTTGACAGATGGTGAAAATACATTGTTTAGATCGCGGAAAGGGTCCCAGGGAAGGCTCTCCTACTGCGCTCTCCAAGCCATTTATGTGCTTACCGTGGGAAGCCAGCCACATGGACTTCCCTCTCCCAAATGGATGGCCTGTGTTCTAGGCAGACAAAGATGCATGGGGTTCCACCCACAGTTTCTTTCATTAGAGATGTGCAGTGCATAATGTCATGTCTGATCCGTTTTTTTCTTGCTAAACTGCCTCTATGAGGCAATAGATCTAAAGATTGGCAAGAAAATGTTTTATGGACAGATGGGGAAATATGGACAGATGAGGCAATTGTACTGGTGGGTGTTGATGATGAGTTTTTGCCATTTCCTCTCCTGCATGCTAAACATGACTTGCTACTATGGCTGAATAGCAATATTGGCAATTGTGACATTTCTTAGTATCGGGAAGCCCCCACCTATTTTTATTAGCATCAGACTCTCCATCATCATTGGAAATATTTATTGAGGTTGATCAGGCAAAACGACCCATCATCCATGTCTATGACTCATGATTGGCGAATAAATACAGTACATAAGCTTTTGACCAAGAATGGAATGTATATTTTTATGATCCTGTTTGTCTAATTAATGGATCACCACTTTGGTCTTCATACCTGCCATGTCTGTGGATCTCAGGCTCAGCTTGCTTTGTGCCTACTGGGCACCAGGACATCTCTTTAATAAGGGGTTGTCTAATTCAGCCAATGCTTTGTTTAAACATGTGCTTTGACAGTGTACAGTAGTCGCTTCTTTTGGATTAGAAGGAGGTTATTAGATGAATAAATTTTGTACTGGGACAGCATTTAATATTCACTGCTGTAGACACTCTTTTATCTACTTACTTTTGGGATATTAACAGAATTCATGAATGTCAGAATAGATTCTTCATGGATTCTTCATGTCCATTTGATATCCAAGCGACTGACATTACATTAGAAGGATGAATGCTCACTTCATAGAATGCAATAGATAAAAAACTTTCAGCATTTGGATAATGGCATATGGACACTACCTTTTAATCAATATTTGTCTGGCTGTCTAATCCATATTTGCCGAAGCTTATTTTTAATTTTTAGAAAGTTGCACTTTATATGCATTTCATATTTATTCAGTGCTATGGATATATACAAATCTATCTATGTATATTTGTGGTGTAGTGGTTAAGAGCATGGGACTGGGACTCAGGCAATCTGGGTTCGAGTCCCCGCTCAGCCATGGAGCCAACTGGGTGACTTTGGGCCAGTCACAGGCTCTCAGCCCAACCTACCTCACAGGGTTGTTGTTGTGGGGATAAGATGGAGGAGGAGAATGATGTAAGCTGCCTTGAGCCCTTTGTAGGAAAAAGGCAGGATATAAATCAAATAAATAAATAAATAAATAAATTTTAAAAAAGTGATGAGGGCAAAAGGAAAATAAATGAAGCTCACTGGTGACCTAACTAACTTCATAGGATTGTTGTGAGCATAAAAAAGTGAGGGGAACGATATAAGCTAGCCCAAGATTCTTCAAAGAAAGGCATGATAGAAGTATAATTACTGATTAAAGTTGCGCATACATCTGTATGTGGCAGAGACTGGGATACTTTCCAGGGGTGGAGAAATTCTGCAGGGGTGGGACATGATAGTCACTGTGACTGGGAACTGGGCTTTTTGCAGGGTGCTGCTGCAAGTCAGCTTGGCCCCTAATTTGCATGCTCCCCATTGTGCATGACCTAGCCTAATTCCAGGGCATTGGTGGTGGTGATGATAACAACCACTGTAAAAATACAGTGCTGCATGACAGGAGAAGATTTTGCAAACAGACTCTTTTTCAGGTGGGTGGGAGCTAGAAAGAGAAAAATCTCAGAATTTTTCTCAGATAAGTCTTCTGAGAAATGGTTGGCTGAGTTCTAAAACAAATAGATAAAATGAGAATACCCCGTGATACAGCTGTGCTCTTTGATATGGATTTCTTGTAGTTTGCTTCAGTATGTTTTTCCTGCTCCCTTAAAGTTGAGTGGTGGAGCTGAGCTAGTGTTGCAAGTTCAAATGTAGAATTGTGTCTTGAATGTACATTCCAAATTCCATTGACTTGTCTGTCTTGAAGCCAGAAACCATGGCCAGAAATCTTTCAGAGGTTTTCTGGCCATGCTGAAGATGGGTTTAGGGCAGGGATGGATTGCCTCCAGTTATTTGAGTCTTGGTATTCGAGAAACCATTTGAAATACTGCTGAATGCATTACTTCTGACCAGACATGTTATTCTTAGGGAATGGGCTTATTTTGCTTAATTCTGAGTAGGCTTAAAATTGCAAATTTTGACCCCACCTGAACAGGCTTAGTAAGCAAATTCTGACTCCACCCACTCTACATTTTGCCACATTCGGTTTGCCTCTAGTCACCCACAGATGGAAAGAGGTCACTATGATGGGTCCCAAGTAGGAATTCAGCACCCCGGCTGAAAAGGATTCCCCATCCCTGGTTTAGAAATGGTGCCTTCAGTTGTGCACATCAGCATGAAAGGAAATATCTCATTCTAGGAAGATAGCACACTGTCTTGTGTTTTACCTGCTTCATGGCCTCCTTTCATGCATGCCAGCTTTAACTTTAACAGCTTTGTATTTTATTGTATATATTTTAAAATGTTATTTTAAATTTTTTGTTGTAAGCCGCCCCGAGGCTTCGGCGAATGGGGCGGCATAAAAATGTTTTAATAAATAAATAAATAAATAAAACTCAATGCCATACAATTCAAAGGAAATATACTTTAAATAATTTCAGGCACTCTTGAAAATGAGTGCTGAAAGGCTGGAGTAGGGAGTCATAACTGAAATGCAGCACAGTGTCCTGAGTGTCTGTGCCAAATTTCTGAGCACGTGTGGTATAGTGGTTTAGAGTGTGGGACTGGGACTCGGACAACCTGGGTTCTAGTCCCCGCTCAGCTGTGGAGCCAACTGGGTGTCTTCGGGCCAGTCGCAGCCTCTCAGCCCAAGCTACCTCACAGGGTTGTTCAGAAAGCAGGAGGAAGAGAATTATGCAACCCACTTTGAGTTCATTAGAAAAAGCAGGATATGAATCTAATAAATAAATAAATAAATTTCAGTTCAATATCTCAATGAAATTATTGCATTACCAACAAACTGACCCACAGACTTTCAAATGGAAAGCTGAGTGGATGGGTTATATCAATTAGCAGTTTTGCCTTTTTGCTGTTAATCCCAGTAACTTTCAGCTCTGAATAAAAGCATTAGAGGAACTGGGAGAGTTCACAGGTGAGTGAAATGGCGGAGCCTTAGGAACAGCAATGACTTTTACAGTTATTTTAAAGTTACTCCTGGAAAATCTCTTTCTGTTGCTGTAATTTTTATTTCCTGAGCAGCATTTTCTCGCTGTTCTTGTTTCCAAATGCCCTTCTTTGGAATTCCCCCCCCCACCCCCCGCCATGGAACCTTTTATTTACAGGCTGGAATCCAATGGCACTCATACAATAGGATTTCCATTTGCACAAGCGGATGTCCACTTCTCTCTCCTCCCCATTGCCTGCCCCAAAGCTGCTCCAGAGGTTCATTCATTCCAGTCAGCAGGGCGGGGGCAGGGGGAATTCTGCCAATAGTTTCCATTCTGCTGTTGAACAGCCTGGGTTGGATATAAGCCATACAGCTCATTTTCTCGGAAAATATGAGGATAGAACATGTCTTGTTTATTTGAAGGCAAAGGCCGGACAGCATTCGTGTAACAGAATCAGTGGGGAGGTAGGGAATGCTGAATTGTGCCTGCACACCCACTAATTCTTGCAGCTAAACACCCTCCCCAGGCTGTTTTTCCCTGATGCCAGGCTTCACTGGGTCCTGGAGCCCAGCTTGGAGGAAAATGTTACCAAAAACAAAAAAGATTACTAGCAAGGCATTTTCAGCAGGGAGTGCAAGAAGAGTTAAGCACATCCTGCCCACTAATGCTCCATGCCAGTCTATTCAAATTAAAATGCAAACATGAGTTGGGAATTCCAACTTAGCTTGAAAACACTCCAAATTTATGCATTTCCTTGATTCTACCTAGATGTGAAGGTGCCAGGAGGAACAGACTTGCAGGATTGTTCCTTTTTAGCAATAAAAGCTTACCTGTCAAGGAAGTAAACATTTGGCAAATGGAACAGAAAAGGGGACAAAGTTCTGTCCAGTGGGATTTTTTTTCTAAGTAACATTTTTTCAGGAGTTTGATAACCACTTCAGGTTGATGTTTCAACATTACTTTTCATAATAGATAAATATTTCTAAAGCTGCTGTGGAAAATGCGAAGGGATTCCCAGAATATGGTGGCAGTGACATTCACTGCCTTTACTGGCTTGAAATGAAATATTTATTTATTTATTTATTTATTTATTTATTTATTTAGAAGGCTTCTATGCTGCCCCATTCGCCGAAGCCTCGGGGCAGCTCACAATTGCAACCGGCAACATAATGAATCATAATATTATAAACCTGGTCTCTAATAAAAGACATGATGGAATAGAACAGTACACAAGCTGGCCACTGAGGAAACCACATGTGCATAACAGCAAAGAAGGATTTTAGGATGTGAGTTGGCTTATGGAGGCCACAACAACTACTTGCCATGCCATATCTGCTGTACATTAATTTGAATTCCCAGCAAGAGAAGAGGAAACTTCCAGTGTTGGTCACTGGTTGGGATAATTGCTTCTAATCTGTGAAAATACATCAGAACCTAAGAATGCTTCCTTTCGTTATTCTCTTAAAGTTTGCTCTGGCAACCTTTTGACGCAGTGTTATTAGAACGGGTGTGACACGTAACAGTGTGCCGGCTTCAGGTGAGTTTCACTGGGTGCCCTAGGCATATTCCATCCCATATGTATCCTTAGTAATGCTTTTCATCTTTTTCTTCTTTTAAACGTAGGTACTTGTGGCTCCAATAACAGAACGAGGACAGCGTCAGAGAGACATCTATCTGCCCAGGGAGGGTCAAAAGTGGATGGACACCAGCACTGCTCGGGTGTACAATGGAGGGACCTTTGTCAAGAACTACTCTGTTGCTCTCGCGGATGTGCCTGTTTTCATTAGGACCTCCTAGATGGCAGATGACCCAAGATTTCAGAAAGCTTATAGAACTTCAGAGACACTTTAAAGGAAGCGCTCTCTTCCTTTAAAAAGGAATTGTAAATGAGGTGCACTTTTACACAAACAATATATACTAAAACAAACAACTATAAAAAGTGCTTAAAAAATCCATGTCCTAGTTTTCAAAACCAGTAAACCCCTCCAGATGTTTCTGTCGGAACTGCACCTATGGTGCTGTCTTATGTCTTAGTATTGCATCAACACAACACTTTTCTTTCACTGAAGGTCTCAAGATGCTTGCATGGGTTCCCAAGTCATCACCCAACCAAGCACCGACCAGAACCAGATCTACTTAGCTTCAGCAAAGTAGCTCCTTCACATGCTTCTAGACCTTGCCCTGGGATCCCAAAACTCCAGCTGCCATTTCTTCTCTTCAAAGAAGCTTGGAAACGTCCTATTTGTGGGGAAGAAGTGAGGTTTGGAAGAAGGGGCTTGGCCCTTGCCACTCCCACCATTTTTCTCCCTCCTACTTTCCCCCATGCAAACAAGAACAACAGTTAATTAAACCAGTTATTCCCTGCCAGTATTTCCCCTATGAAATACTGCATAAGCATGTGCTAAAAGGCTCGTGTTCAGCCCCATTTTTCATTGTGGTGCAATTCACCTCCAAACAAGCTGTACCCAAGAATGGCATTTCTTTATTCCAGAAATGCATCTAGAAATAAAGAATTGACAACAAACTTCACTGTGGGGACTATGGGAATATAAACCTGCAAAGATGGTTCCAAGCTCTGTTTTCCCCAGCCTCCTAACGTGAAGCCGTGAGCAGAGATACGACAATGTTTATTAAAACTTAAGTGATGCTTTTGTCTTTGGAAATACAAGCTAACTGGCAAATAACCATTTTGTTCAAGGCAAGCAATGCAAAGGATAGCCACAAAGGGGGAGGCGTCTCCTGTGACACGTTCTCTCCACGAGTTTACACTGGGATGGACTGGGGGGAATGGGGTGTACATGCATCGTCCCTTATGCACCCTTGTTTGTGTGTTCCTTGCTTCGTGTATATCTTAAGTTGCCATCATTGCCCTAATAATTCTTGAGGAAAAAGTGAATAGGTCTATGTATGACATAAATAAACACACACATAAAATCCCCAGTCCATTTGAATCACATCAAAATCAGTTCCAGAGTAAATAAGTTGTAAATCATGCTGGTTACTAAGAAAAAGCTTTCTGCACAAAAGTAGGGAGTTCTTTTTTCTGTTGCAGCAGTCACCTTATTCCTCTGTCCAAATTACTTTCTCGATCTGGTGTGCCCGATGCCATACCCACAGGAGCCTGCAATGGCACCTGCAGAGCTCTTCACCCCGTCACTTAAAAAAATTAGAGGAAGATGGGCACAAAGCTGTGCCTGAACCTGCTACTGATCAGCTGTGCTACAGGCAGGAACAGAAAGAAAGGCAAAAGGGCAGATGCAGGGAAAAGAAGAGGGCACCTAGAATCTGGGACTGAGGAGAAACTGCAAGGTAAAGGATAGGATGTGGGGGAAAGATCAAGGTTGGAGGTTAGGAAGGGCGAGAAGGAAGAAGACAAGGGGGAGGAAAGGAAGAGAAATAGCAAGGAAAGGGTAGAGGAACAGCAAAGCCAGGGGCTGGGAGTGGAAAGGGAGAGAGTGCAAAAGGGAACCACCTTGTGGGCAGAAGAATACTGGGCAGGCTAGGAAGCAATCCTTTCTGTTTCTCCCTCCCTCCCAGGCTCTAGCTCCAGTCTTCTTCCCTCTGCCCTAGTCTAGTCTCTCCATGGGAGGCATTTTGTGGCAGTTCCCACAGAAGTTTCTCAAATTCCTAAATGTGCTCACAAGTCCAAAAAGGTTGGAGACATCTGTCCTAGAAAGTTCACACCATAGCATGACTCCCCACCTTCACTTTATAGTCACATCTTCTACATGTTACATTCTTTGCAAACTCTCCCCCACCCCTGGAAGCCTGGGCAGGTGAAATTTGTCCACTGCTCCAGAAGAACTGGGAATCTTTCTGTCTTGCATATGATTCTGCAAGACAGAAAGATGAAATAGGGCAAGAAATCCAAAAGCACTCCAAGCATTTGTACGAGGCTGAGCTGTAATAACTTGGCCTGCTAACCCACTTCCTGCATAGCCCCTGAGCAGGCAAGGAATGCTTCTGAATGTGCATAGTAATTTTGTCTTTGATTGGGTATCAGCTGGCAAGAGAATACCACATGTACTCAGCTTTGATAACTCATTTAAAAATTCTTAGTTAAATCTTGCAGACCTGGCCTATTTTAGCACCAAATAATATTTGCATCAGAGATGATATGAAGGCATTAGACAGAGCAAGCAAACTCCCTTTCCCTGTCTGCCCAACACAGATTTCACACTCACGTTGCAAATCAGTTGAAGCAAGAAACCTTTGAAACTTCATTTGTAAAAATGCTTTTAGAATTTTACATCCTCTGGGCATTATCTTTCAGTCTGTGTGTAAAGTCTATGCCAACTTAGATAATCTCTTGGGATATGAATGAAGCTGTAGAAAGACAAGTGAAACATCACATTCCAACACGGAATGCATGGATTTGCACAGCACATTTCACCTGGCCAATTTACCCTCAAAATCAGATATGCTTAACATCTGAAGAAAAATTTCAGGTTGCACCAGTCTGTTTGGCAGTCTTTGAAACTTCTATTGGAAACTGGCTAAATGCGGACTCATTGATATTCCCATCAAGTGGACACAACCCTTTGGACTCAAGTGGACTCAAGAACCTGGTTTGCAGAACATGGAAGCCCATTAAGGCCGATTACCCATGGTGGGTTCTTATCTTATGCAATCCCAGTGTAGCTTCTGCAGGATGTCTTATTTTTCATGCACAAGCCACCCTGAGAACTTGTCTGAACCTGGCAGGGCAACTTCATCATGGGTTGTCACCAATGCCTGCAGAGTCAGCCTACTGATCAGAAGAAGAAAATCTGGGGTAGGAACTGAGGAAATTAGAAATTCTGCTCTAAAGGTCCCTGAGATATATGCTATAGCTGGCATGGACTCTGAGAGGGCATGAAGGGACAAACAAGCCACAGCAAGCCCTATCTTCTGTTGGGTCACGAATGAACAACGACCCCATGGTGGCTTATTCGCAGGGTGGGTTGCATAATGCTTGCGCTCATCACTGCTCCTCATCAAACAGGCAGAGTTCGTGAATGGAATGCCACAGCCAGAAAGCAGCTTTCCAGATGTTTTTCATGTCAACTTTCAGCACTCTGGACTATTGCCATGGCAGAGGTTTCTGGGGGCTGTAATCCCAGACAGCTGGAGATCGACCTTCTACTCACCCCTGAGGTAGACAAACTGGAACAGGATAGCACAGGATAGCAAAAAAGAGGTTATGGTGTTTGCAACAGCAAATCTTGTGAGGAACGCTTGAAGGGACTGGAGGAACTTAACTTGGTGAAGGAAAGATTGAAAGGAGACCTATATCTCAAATACTGTTACACAGAAGCGAGCCGACATTTGTATTCTACTCTGTTATCTCACAAGACATCTTGAGTATTTAAATTGAAGGAGGATGGAATCTAATTCAACATTAAGAGAAACTGTTCAACAGGAAGTGCAGTGCAGCCATGAAACTAGTTACCTGTGTGGTGTCTCTCCACCTCTGGGAGTCTTCAAGTAAAGGCTGGACAGGCACCTGTTGGAGATGCTCCTCCATTGTGCAGGAGGACTGGATTAGATGACTTTCCAACGCTATGATTAACTACAAGGGCTCAGGCTGTGTGTGACAGAACTGAGTCCTCCTTGGGCATTGGCTCTGTCTTTGAGAAATGTTTGGAATATCCAACTGCTTCGAAGCTTAACAAGCTATCACCACAGGAGGTGGAGGGACAGATGGGAATGAGCATGCTCATAGCATGGATTTGCTCAGCAGAGAAGGGAGCAGGCAGTAATATAGTTAAGTAATGTACATGTATTAGAGTTGTGAGTATTGTGTGCATAATAATGGTATGCAAATATAATGCAAAATAACTCTGTACGTGTGAATGCTGCATGGGATTAAAGTGGGAGGGCAATAAGACATAGAGTGAATGGGGAATGGGCACAGAACAGACATTACATGCACATGCCTGTGAACTACAAGCAGGTAACCACTTCTCAGCTTTATCCACACATTAGATACTTAGTAAATGACAACAACAAAACTTAAGTGAAGGCACGTAAGAGCATGGCGAGTCCCAGGTCACAGCTTGGGTTTAGGCTCACTGCAAAGGAAAATAAGAGTTCAGGTTTCAAGTAGAACCAGGGACAGTCCCAACTGGTGCTCCAGCTGCAGCCTCAAGTCGGCCCAAAAGCTTGTTCAGCAGCAAATGGCCCTAGGCTGAGACTTACATACGGCTGCTAACAATTCTGGTAGACTACCTCCAGTTCCAGTGGCCTCAAGGATGCCTCAAGGAGGTCAAGATGCCTTGCCCATTTTGGGTGCCACTGGCTCTGATGGTACTGGGGAGACTACGGTTCTGCCAATGTTGTGTAGTGGTTAAGAGTGTGGGGCTGGGACTTAGGGGCTGGTGGGGCTGGAGATCTGGGTTCTAGTCCCTGCTCAGTCATGGAGCTGAGTGACTTTGGGCCAATCACAGACTCTTAGCCCAACCTACCTCACAAGGTTGTTGTTGTGGGGATAAGACTGGGAGCAGCAGGAGGAGAATGATGCCACCCCTTTGAATTCTTTGTAAGAAAAAAGCAAGCATATAAATCTAATAGATAAATACATTCTTGAACTTCAAAGATGGCAACACTGCCTTCTTGGGTCAGGAAGGTTGTGACAAGATGGGCTCCTCATTTGATGGTGTTTCTCTGTGTGTGTGTGTGTGTGTGTGTGTGTGTGTAGCTCTGTTGAAGAGAATGTTCTCCCACACACCACCACCACTTTGGAGTCTATGGCCTCATCCTCTGAACATGCACAGTCTGACTGTAAGGAAATGACACCTACAGGCAGGGAATTTTCAAGTTTGCCTACCAGCTCACATATGAATTTACTGATATGAATTCAGCTCACCTGAATTTGCTGGTGCTAGGCAAAATGCTTTCTCTGAGCACCAGCATACTCTGCCCTCTCCCTTTTTATTACTGGCCTATAGGTATACTTCAGGTATCTATTCAGCTGCAGAAGTCATCAGCTAATTACTAGATAGCTTGCCTATAGGAACTGCATT